GGGCTGGGGGAGAGGTTGGTTTTACGAAGAGGTTTCTAATTTTTTGGTGGGGAGGGGGTGGGATTGGAAGACCACGGAAACAGGATGAATTCACTGCAGAGGAAAAGAACAGGAGTGGGAAATTAGTCTTGAGGGATCAGCGTGAGAGGGCAGCGTTTCTCAGATTGGGTGCTGGATTGCTTAAAAAACAGCTCCCCACCACCATCACCCCAGAGGTGGCTGCATCTTAGTGCTGGGTAAAGTACCCCTGGGTAAACAGCAGCCCCACATCAGAGGTGGCTGCATCTCAGTGCCGGGTAAAGGAGCCTTTTATAAACAGTGGCCCCACATCAGGCTGCAACTACGCATTGGGCGAGGAATCCCTGTATAAACAGCCCCCTCAGCCCACCCCAGAGGCAGCTGCATTTCAGCACTGGGTGAGGGGTCGCTGTATAAGCAGCCCCCATGCCCCACCCCAGCTGCGGCCGCATCTCAGTGCCAGGTTTCGAACCGCTGTTGCTCCTGCGTGTGACGTCCGTTTGAACAGGATACTTGGTCCTGATTGGCTGGGGCACTGGAAAAATTTGGTCCCCTAAGTAGGGTCCCGTACTGGGGGTCAGTAGATATGATGCCGTCGCTATTTCTTGGGAGGGCTCTTTCATATACGGCCCATATTGCTCAGAGGGGAAGTCACTTTTATGGTCCGTATTTATTTATTGCCTGGGAAGGCTGGTTTATTGTGTAGGCTATCACCCCCAGGGGGCTGGGTATCACCTGTCAACCTGTTTATGGTAGGGTCTCTATAACCGGACAAGGGCTGTTTAGTATATGGACCATCTAGCCTAGCAGGGCTGTTTATTGTAGGTCCATATTGCATGAGGAAATGGCTTATTTTATATCCCAATAGGGACCGTGTCATCTAGACTGATAGGAGAATTGTCCGTATGGACCCTGACGGACATGGAATAGCTACAGGGCAGGGGGGCCCCGGCCATGCCCCCGATCTGCCCCCTATAGGCCCTGGGGGGAAGGGAATACCCACGGCCCAAACCCAGGAGGACAATTCCCCCACCCCCACTCTGGGAGCCCCCGTTAAGAGCCGGGAAAGGCCGGGGGGGCAGAGAGAAGATGGGGGGGCAATAAAACAGAGAGACACCCCTCCGCCTGAAAATACTCAGCACACTGTGTTACCACCCCCACCAGCAGAGGGCGCTTGGGGGGGTAAAGCTTTGGCACTTGGATCTGGCACAACCATGAGCCCTTGGTGGGTTGGGGAGGAAAGGAGAGGGGGTATCTCTAGGTCACTACCCCCCCACCTTTTCCAATTCCCTCCCCTCCATGTACAAACTTGCCCAGCTGTGAATTTGGCACTGGTAAATTACAAGCCTCCCCCATTCTAACACAGACACCCCCCATGGTCCCCTGGAGACCCCCAGCACTAAGACATGGCAGTATCCCCTCTGCAGGACCCCTGGTCTCAGGACAGTGATTGAATCATTTCAACCAACTCCCAGGCTGATCCGGACTTTTCCCACATTCTCCTGTCACCCGCATCCCATCCTCCTCTTGGATAGAGCACGGCTGGGAAATTGCTTCCCGCTGGTGGGGAAATATAAAGGAAAAGAGGGTAATGGTGCAGAAAGAAAGAAAGAAAGAAAGAAAGAAAGAAAGAAAGAAAGAAGAATTGGCATTAGAATGGAAGAAAGAAAGAATTAGTATTAAGAAGAAAGAAAGAATACTAAATAATATTGCTAAGAAAGAAAGAAAGAAAACTAGTATTAGAAAAAACTATTGAAAGAAAGAAAGAAAATTGGCACTAGAATGGAAGAAAGAAAGATTTAGTAAAAGTTAAAATTAAAAAGAGAACAAATGAACGAAGGAATGAACAAATGACTGAACAAACGACTGAACGCAGGAGGAAAGGAACACAGGGTTCGAAAGACACTTTGCTAAGAATGCCCCTTCATTAGCCTAACGCTCTCCCGTCCCGCCTTGCACCGCGGCTCCCCACGGCCACCACGTCCCTCGGCCCGGTCCCCCGCCACCAGCCCCCCGCCCGGCTGCCCCTACACGGGTGTGGTCTTCCGATTGAGCGTGTTGGTGTTGGAGGAGGCGTCCTTGCCAAGGGTGCCAGTGGCGCCGGCCGCGCCGGGCCCTGTAACCGTCACCGTCACGCCGGGGTCCTTGGGGAAGGTGTTGTGGAGTTGCAGGAAGCCCCCGCCGGCCCCCTCCCGCTCGGCCCCGTAGAGGCTGCTGACGTTGGCCTTGGAGGGGTCCCGCGAGAGGGTGTACATGGAGATGTCGGTGGAGGGGAAGCCCTTGAGGCCCACGGGCGAGGCGTCCCGTGACTGCGAGGGCTCGGTGGAGCGGGAGCTGGAGCGGGAGCGGCGCCGGTAGCGGAAGCGGTAGCTGGGCAGGCGCAGGATGGCGTTGGAGGAGGACGAGGGGTTCTTCAGCAGCTCGGTGCGGCTCTTGCAGTGGGCCTCCCGGTTCTTCTCGATGTAGATGTTGACGGCCAGCACCCCGATCATCTCGGCCAGGATGAAGGACAGGCCCCCGAAGTAGAAGGACCAGCCGTAGGAGTAGTGGCTTTTCTTCTCGTCGTCCCGCTTGGTGCCCGGGTCCCCGGCGTTGGCCGAGATGTACACAATCACCCCGATGATGTTGCTGAGGCCTGGGGAAGGGCAGGGGAGGGATGGGGGCCATGGATGGAGGAGGGGTGGGGACAGGGTGGGTTCGGGGGAGGGGCCGAGGAGATGGGTCAGTGGATGGAGGAGGGGTGGGGATAGGGTGGATTTGGGGGAGGGGTGGAGGATATGGGGGTAATGGATGGAGGTGGGGTGGGGATGGGGTGGATTCGGGGGAGGGGTGCAGGAGATGGGGCAGTGGATGGAGGAGGGATGGGGATGGGGTGGATTTGGGGGAGCGGTGGAGGAGATGGGGCAGTGGATGGAGGAGGGGTGGGGATGGGATGGATTCGGGGGGGTGGAGGATATGGGGGCAGTGGATGGAGGAGGGATGGGAATGGAGTGGATTCAGGGGAGGGGTGGAGGAGATGGGGCAGTGGATGGAGGAGGGTGGGAATGGGGGGGATTCGGGGGAGGGGTGGAGGAGATGGGGGCAATGGATGGAGGTGGGGTGGGGATGGGGTGGATTCGGGGGAGGGGTGCAGGAGATGGGGCAGTGGATGGAGGAGGGATGGGGATGGGGTGGATTTGGGGGAGCGGTGGAGGAGATGGGGCAGTGGATGGAGGAGGGGTGGGGA